AGAGTATGACCAACCAGTTAAAGATAGTGGGCTGTTGGTTGGTTGGTTGAATGTCTGGTTAGATGTTATCAGTGGTGGAAAAAATAACATCAACATCCTTTATCCACACCTTCAGTAAATGGTTAAAATAAATAAATACACAGCAAACACCTGCCAATTTAATTTTTACACATTCAGCAGATACAAAGCTATATTAGCATTCACTTAGAGGCATGTTTGTGTCTAATATTCACTCCCCTTTTAGCTCTGTTTTTGGTCTCCACCAACTCCTGATCGAAATATGTTCACCAACTAGTTTGTCTGTCTGCTATTTGGTGCTGGGCAGGTAGTTTTAAGTGGGTTTATCTCAGCTTTTTTGCTAGAAACAGCTGCCTGCTGCTGCTTGAAACTGCCGATGAGAGCGGTCAGAGTGAACCAAGAAGTTTCAGAATAAAACCAAAACCAAAACAATGAGGTGACAGATGCTAAAACCCTCTGGTAAGATGAAGTAAACTGTAGAGTTTCTAATAATTCTTTGAGGGTTCATCACAAAGAGCAGTATCATTTACATTATGTATAAATATTACATAAAACAGGACAGAAAATATATAAATAAATACCAATTATAGCCATTTTAGGTAAAAGTAGTGACGCCACAAATACTCGATTTTAAGTCAAATACTTTATTTTTTTTTTTTTAAAAAAAGTACCAAAACTATTAAAAGTATAAGTACTCATTATGCATAAGTCCCTCAAATTGTACCTCAGTAGAGTTAATATCACATGTAAATGTATACAGCTACATTCCACCACAGAATGTCCTTAGTTGTTACAGCTGTTGTTGGGGAGAGCGTCATACGCCTGTTTTACAACACTATAAGTTGTACATATAAGTATAACAGAAACATCATATGTTTCAGAATAACCCTAGCATATGTTTGCCTTGAAGCTTGTTTCAGCCTTAAGACTATTTGGATGTCTACAAGCCCACAGGGACTGACTGAACTTTAAACTCTTACAGACTGATCACCTATTGCACACACACCCACACTCACCAATGGAGACCTCTTTAATGAGCTCAGCGGCAGCATGTGCCCCCTGCACGAGGGCTCGCGTCCATGAAGACAGATCCCAGTGGGTCTCCACTCGGAAGATGTGGGACTCGATGCCCCGCCCTGTGCCCGTCCGAGTGGCGAACACCAGGTCTGAACCCTGGGCGGGAGAACCCCGGGCGCTGCCAGAATGAACCAGTCTGGAGGGAGAGACAAATGAAAATACAGACACGTTTAACATTCTCAAAGACCACCCGCATAGATAATCTGCATTGGTGAGGCTCCTAATTGAAATTGCTTAGCTCCTCTTAAGCTGTTTATTAAAGTTGGCAAGGAGTCCTGGTCTCTGAAGTTGCTAACCCACAACATCGAATGGTCTGGCTGGTGTAATTTCCTAAGTGAAATGAACTGAGTGTTGAAATTTGAGTTGTGTTTTACGGGTGGGGTTTCCCAGCTGTAAAAGTTGTTTCCCCCCAGAATTCACATTTACACTGCAACAAAACTGAACTACACTGAACAGGTCACCACTGACCTAACAAAACTTTATTTCACTTTCATTTTAATGTGACCAACTGTAAACTTCCAGGTACTTACCATAAATTACACTTTGTTAAACATACAGTGACAGTAAATGGAAAGTACTGAACTGAAACCCAGCTTAACCTTTTGAAACCTTTTTCCCCTTTTGACAGTCAGCTGATATGCTCTTGAATATTTACTGACATCTTGCAGAGAATCAACAAAAAAATGTCCCACCCAAATGCATATTAACATAAATATAAATATCTGTACCATAAAGAAATGATAAACTAATTTCACAGGTATGATGACAGTGAACTGTTCTGAGCAAAAGTTAAATCTGTAAAGGAGTAATTTCTACTTGTGACTTTCATTTGACCCATAGCATGACATATGTATATGTTTCCTGATAGACCTAAAGCAGACCAGTCAGGTAGGATTGAACGTTCTGGCTTTAGCTGAGTGCACTTGCTGTCCAATGTCTTTACCTTGTGGCTAGCAGCGGGTGTGTGAGCAGAGGCATGGACCAGGACTCTCTGCTCCACGGCACTGATTCAAATAGCAGGATGTCCTTCTCGGTCAGTGCCATGACCACTGGCTTGTACTGCTGCCGTCCACCTTCCAGCTGGACCTACAGAAGAAAGTCAGAGGGAGATATCAGTACTAATAAGTTAAACTGATACATCAAAACAAAGTAAATCTCTAAATTACATTTTTACTTCATGTTTTGTTTCAGTAATTTACAGTAATTCCATCAGTTTACTGCAAAAGGCAGCAATATATCCACTTTCTCCTACCATTAGTCACCTTGCATCATAGAGTCATTCTCTGATCTCATGAAAAGGGTGTGTTTTTATTATAGGTAAGCCTGTGTATGTTAAAATAAGTCCATAATTAACTTACATATGGCATATAGATCTAACTATTCAGTTCATGTGTAAAATATCACATTACTGAATAGAGACAATTTTAATGATGTAGTTTGGCAGTGTACAGGTATAGTGGTGTAGTTTAATGAGTTAAAAGTATGGTGATGAACGTAGTTTAATGGGGTATAAATGACTACAGGGTATGGGGTATGGTTATTGCAGTGTAGTTTGAAGGGGTACAGGTATAGTGATGTAGTTACTACAGGCATCATGATGCAGTGTGACATAGTACAAACCATTACGGGGTATGGGTACAGATATAGCGATGTAGTTTGATGGGGTATGAATTACTATGGGGTACAGGTATCATGACGTAGTTTGATAGGGTATGACTTACTATGGGGTATAGGTATAGTGATGTAGTTTGATGGGGTGTGAATAACTATGGGGTACAGGTATATTGACATAGTTTGATGGGGTATGACTTACTATGGGGTACAGGTATAGTGATGTAGTTTGATGGGGTATGAATTACTATGGGGTACAGGTATCATGACGTAGTTTGATGGGGTATGACTTACTATGAGGTACAGGTATAGTGATGTAGTTTGATGGGGTGTGAATAACTATGGGGTACAGGTATACTGACGTAGTTTGATGGGGTATGAATTACTATGGGGTATAGGTATTGTGACGTAGTTTGATGGGGTATGAATTACTATG